GCATTGAGATATATACATATATTAAAAAAAAAAAAACATTTCGAGTTCCAAAAATAGTTCATCTTGTTACACATTTTTTGAACCGTCCATTTTCAATATTTTCATGTCTTTATAGATCTACTTGATTTGAACCATTTTTTGAATCTAAATTTTTTTCTATTAGAGATGAAAATAAACTCTCAGGTCATTTCAAGAATTTTTTAACACCAAAATTACATCTTATGATAAAATTTAGTGGAGCACTTATTTTGATTGTTTAAAGTTGCAACCTTATGCAAACCACACTTTGAATTTAAGTGCAAGAAAAAATTGATAATCTATATGAGGTTCTATGTTGGAAAGAAATATTTAATTTTTTGTTTTTTTGTTTTTGGTGGGATTTGGATAAAAGATTTCATGCATATACAAACAACGAGTTACGACTTCCACATTAAAAAAAAAAACGGAAGTAGAAGAAAGTCAAGAAAATAAAAACATTAGGGAGTTGTGATTTTTCTTGATATAACTCTTAGGAGGTGGTGTAGATCCTAGCAAAGGGAAAATCTCATTTAAGGTGGCTTGTAGTAATAAATCGTTTTTATCGTCAATTTCTTGGTGAGAGTTCCTTTGGATATTTCCAATTAACTGCCTCTCCTTTTTTTGTTTACATATAAGTATTGCACATGATATGGACCTGCTTTGATGAATTAAATCAAAATCCATAAATTCTTTCAACCCAATTAAAAAAACCTTATATAAACTTCAATTCCTACCATATGCGCTTCTAAAGACACCTAAGTCTTACACATAAAACATTAGGAGAATTTACCTAATATAGAATTTGCATGCAAAAGACCACCTGCCTAGGAATGGGCTCAAAGCAAGTAGTCAAGGACACCAAAATATGACATCTTGAGTTCCATCTTGTTATTGGACAAAAACTAAAAAAAAAAAAGACAACCCCTGTACCAAAAAACTATCAATGTTGATTTGATAGTTAAGAGTGCGCCAAAATTATGATAAAAGATTAGAGCCAAGTATGTCTGTCAAGTTATACTTAATGTTAATTACTTTCCAACTATCAAATTAAGATCAAACAATTGTCTCTAAACATGTATAAACTACGGACCATGAAACGCTATTCCAATATACATACTATTATATGTTTTAGCTCGTGCGAATTTGGATTAAGTAAATTTAGGTTACAAATTTAAAACAAAGCAAATCGATTGAGTACTATACTTCATACGAGTATAGTAGTTGGATACTCAAATCCAACATCTATTTGAATAATTTTCTCGCTGTCCTGTGAATAAAAGCATGTTGTTCCAAACGGACTCCAAATTTCTTATCGTAGTTTATATTTATTCATGAGCGGTGGAGTTGAATACCCAATTTCTTATCGTAGTTTATACTTATTCATGAGCAATAGAGTTGAGTACTACCGGTCATTGACAATGAAAGTGAATAATACTTCACCACTTGCCTGTGAATAAATAAAGTAGGTGGGTTCTGAATCTTATTACCTTATCCAATACTTTTAATATTTTCCGACAACACAAATTATTTATTTATTTACTTAATTTTAGCCTAAATGGCATATTGGTGCCAAAAGGATTCATATATTACTTTCGAAAGTGTTCAAATAGTTCCCATTATTAAAGGGAAAATTATCAAAACACCCATATATGAGATGAACCATTTAACATTGTATCCCTATTGTTTTATTTCATTTCAAGATACCCATAAAAAAGATAAATGATCAAGAGTTAGTATTGTCTCAAAAGTGTAAAATGATACACAGGGCATCTCTCGGGTATTTTGATCAATTTCCCCTCTTTTAATCCGAGGACAGGAAATAGTTGCCAATTTGTAATCATGCCATATTTCAGTTAGCCATCTAAAAAGAACAGAATGCAAACCAGACACATGCTCTCACATTATCATATACTTTTTAATGGATTTCAGTGGACTACAGATTTTATTGGTGGCAAATAAGAGAGGATCATACTTGGCAAATATAAATATATATTCCACATTTTCCCGATAAATCAGCAAAGATGGACTCCTTAACCGATTATAGGAATGAAACGCAGAACGTCATGTTGTAACACCCTGCTCCCATGACCACCTACTCCTTGAATCCATTCCCCAAAATATATTTATTCAACAGAAATATTAAATATACATTATTGGCAATATGTTGTTCATTTCTTCCATATGATATCCATCTCATGTGCAAGTCTCATTGCCATAAAATCAAACAGAAAGATTAAAATAAAACATAACTACAAGCTTTCACTTGAATTGATCTATTTACCATGGGTGTCTAAGAATGAGAAGACATATAAAGGAGACGGTTTTGTTGCATTGTCTGATGCAAGAGACCCATATTATCATTTCTAAAAATATCAAAATCGTAGCATTGTACCGTTCGGGTGGCTTGTACCGTCTCCCCACCTTCTCCTGTGCTTTCGGACATAGATGACCCCAAAACCAACATGATTGTTCAAATTCTCCATTGGATAATAGTATACTTCTTCAAATAATTATACCATAATGACTCAGTGTTTAGTAGTTCCTACACAAAATAAACCTAAGAGAGAGACTCGGTATCAGTTCAACAGAGTTTTAAGTCGAGAAAGCCATTAAACTAGAAAGAGAACTCAAAATCAGAAGAAAAAACAAGAAGCCTGCATTAATTATCGAAATGTAACCAACTAAGCCAAGACTGAAATTGATGGAAGACGGATTCAGCAAGCACTAGATTAACTAGACAAACAGGTACAATGCATCCCAGAAGAAACACTCAACAAATTCAATCTGATAACCAGGCGACATGGACACTGGCTTCATACGTATGAGAATCGATTGTTTATGCGCACCAGCTAATCACCGCCATTCTTATAGTTCTTATGGTGGCAGTGAGTGTTTGTAGTAAAGAAGCTTCTATCCAAAACCTGTGTGACCGCCAATGTACCAACTGTTAAAATTTAAAACAAAACGAGGCCAAAAAAAAACAAAACAAACAACATTCTAGGACAAGTGAAATGCGACAGGAAAACACATATGCCAAAGTAATTTGGATGGCAAAATGTGGAACCAACCAACCTTGTTAATGAGGAAAATCCTAAATTTTTTTAAAGCATAACCTTCATAAATTCTTACAGATACATCCCAATGGCCTTTGAATCCATTGGTTGCCTTGTAAAACTTCGGTGAAGGAAGTAGCACAAGGCTGAAGTAAAACTACCTCATCTCAAAAATTAAATTCAAACTACAAGAACAAATGAGAGTTGATACATATCAAGCTCAAATTCACATACTGGGACTCCAATTCAGGTTCACAAACACTGTTACTGTAACACTGGCTGCTTGGGTTTCACCAGTCAATAGCTGGTGTGCACTAAACGAATTTCTTTCAGTTGACCTGAATATTCTAAATAATGGAATTCTAAGCAAGGAAAATTCATAGTTTTTTTTTTTTTGAAATGTAAGCAAGGGAAATTCACAGTTGTTGATGGAAATTATTTGACAATAATTAAACAATCAACGTAGATGTCAATATGAGATGAAGCCCATTCAAGTAGGTTGACTATAAAATGAGGAAAATGTTGACAAGAACGTAATAACAGGGTGAAAACTTAAGTCTTCGAAGAATTGAATGATCATATTGAAGTTTGACAATGCAGGAAAGAATCTTAACGTCTTCATTGTGTGCAGCAAACCATGTTCCCTTTCAAACTTCGATATATAAACCTCACGACACATGAAACTAGCGAACACCAGTGCAACTTTATGATGGAGTGGCACACAATGTTAAAATAAGTACTTCACGGCTAGCACATAAAACCCTGCATAAATGAAATCATTTCAAGCCATGGCAATGGAATTGACCTAGATAGCACACAGATTAAGAATGTTTACCAGTAAACAATGAATTCGTTCGATAATGGCAGTCCTAAATTTTTTCAATTCCTGATAGAAATTGAGGCAAAGATATTTTCCATATGAAAATAATATTTTCTCATCACCCATCTAAGCATTTTACCAATGCAAATTTATAAAAGGATGCCGATATGATGTTGGGATGTTCAAAAGTGACCAAATACATTCGGAGAATATAAATGGAGAAAAAATACACAACGCTGGACAAGAGCAAATAAACAGGGGGGTGATGCTTTCATCTGTCTATGCTTACACAAAAAGTTACAAAGTACTATGGGTCTTTCAAGACAAATTCTTGGCTCTCTTGGTTGAAGGGTAGCTTCTCTAAGAGTCCATGTTGAAGGAACTACTCAAGGATAAGAATAACTGAAGTCAGTAATCATTTCTGTAAATCTCAGGTCTAAGGAGCTATCTCTAAGATCTAATTCTCTCAGGTCAGAAGCACCTGCTTCGACTAGTAGTTCTCAAACAGCAACAGAAAAACCAGAAAGGAAGATCCACTATAATGAGGCAGAATCCCTCCCTCCCCCTGCTGGTCCATGGGTTCTAGTGAGTCATCAAGATTCCAGGGTCTGACCAGGTAATGGAATTATCAGTCACAAATGCTCCATAATTTTAGAGGTGACCACAACTATTAAGGGGAGAGTGGAGGTTTTGTCAGCTATGTAGACCTAAGACCCTGTTTGTGGAACTTGGCGACCTTTTGAAATGAGCTTTGAACACCCCACCCAACCCCCTTCTCCCTCTCTCTAATGACATTGAAAGTCCATGAACAAGAGGCAATGACTTAAGGTTAAAAAGCAATGTTACATGGAGAACACGGCAGGTTGTCTTGGATTAAGCTGCACATAAGGTGGTGTATCCGACACATGTGCATACAAGTCCACACAGCATCTACGTGTTGATATGCATAATTTATTTTTTAACCTCTCTCTAACTAATAAAAAATTATTTGCAAAAAATAAAATATGCATCTCCAGATCATAGATATGCATCCAGTATTTTAGACACAGGCCCAGAATTTGAGAAGTGCTACGGTCACAAATACGTGTCCAGAAATTTAGACATGCCTGTCCAGTACAATGATACACAGGTATATTTGACACGCAAGAGTCGTATGTCTGACAGGAAAATCTTTAAGACACATTACAGACACACATGAGCTGTTGCAGTGGTGTGTCTTGTCAAAATGTTATCTCTGAGCCATGTCCATGTTAGACAAGTAAAAAACATGCCTGAAATGAGTCTCATATACTTACAAGTTAGAAGAGAAGATTTTGAGAGGTGGGGAGGAAGCTTGAATTTTCTTTCAAAAGGACAGAGGAGGTTAAGTATCTCTTTCGCTTATTGGATTCAAGAAAGGGCACTAAGTAGGTGAAGTGTGACAGAAAGGTTGGTAAAAGAAAGGGGATCAGGGAAATGAAGAACATAGTTTATCATACTAACTACAGTAAATAGGCAGCCGAGAGATTGAAGAAAGATGAGAAGCAGCATGGCACGTGTTACAACAAGCAGCTTTTCAAATGGAACTCTAACATCTGCTCCTCTAAATTCTTGTCAGACAGCCTTGTCACTCTCTAAGTATAACCTCTATCTTGCTGTACCTTCAGGTGCTGCTTCATACTCACTTCCAACTAAAACAAACGAGTAGTGTAAGTAATGGTCAAACAGATTCTTCTACTAATTTAATGATACTTCGAAATCAGAGGATCAATAAAACAAGACTACATAATAAGCCCCCTAAGAAAAAAATGAAGATCATATAATTATCAAAGAAAAAAAAAAAGATTATACAATGAGTTTGCCAATTATTATAAAATAGTCTTAATTTAGGGGTCCGGCTAGGTCACTTGCAATTTTACTGGTCCACCCACTATTTTTGATTCAGCCACCTAAAACTTCAGTCTCAGGGATCAACTGGGTTTCCCGGTTCAGTTGCCCACTGAGCTGAGTGGAATATCAAAAAATTAAGTAGCTGAATCATTTAAATGACACATAGTAAATGAAATTTATACGTTATTATTAGGTGAGTATATGGTGAAGCCGAGCAACCATATAAACACATAAGCCACATTGCCACACATCTTATAACATCTATCTGGATGCGTGACGACAACCAAAAACTCCAAAGTACATTAAAATCTTCCTAGAAACTTCAAATCCCCTAAATCTAACCTCCATTGAAATGGATATATCAGATATGAGTTTGGGGGAAGATGGAGGGTGTTTAGAGCTCCAAATCTAAATTTTCTTTATCTGTGTTTCCTTTTTAATTTGCAGGAGATTGCTATTTGGAGGAAGAAGAAATATTTTCATTCAAAAAAATGGTGAATAAGGTTAGGCTACAAGGTTGTTTTGGTGCAGCAACATTTTCTTTTTTGTTAAAAAGTGGTGCAGCCACATTTTCCATTATTTTAATAGCATATATATGTTAAACTCCATTTAATTTATTCATAATATTTCATGCATTTCTTTTTAACAATTACTATATGCTGCCAGTTCCCCACTACCCACCTTAATGTGCATCGGTTTGTCCCAAGCAGGGCATCCCCCAAAATACTTCGCCCCCCCCGGCTTTTTAATTACCCTGATCATTGATACACAATAGCATATATTTCAAAAAATTATTATTCTGTACAAATGGCCTCTCATCATGCATTGTAAACAATGAGACACTTCAGCCATGAAGCGCCAAATTGATGGTAGAAAAGTGCAGTGTCAGAAACCAAGACCACAAACCCCATTGTAACCTGAATAAATTACTTGATATGTTTTGGAAATTGGAATAAATAGAAAGGAATTTGTTTGAATATTCAAAAATAGAAATCTGGTTCAATTGAAGGATATGGACAAATCAAATGACGTGACGAAGGGAATGAGTCGAATGAATTGGATGACCACCCAGATACCTATATGAATCAATTAGGATGACGAATAAAACTGCATTACCATTAGCAAGATGGGATAGATGATAAGTGAAAAGTGCAACAGCATACCAAAACTAGTAGCATAAGCTGTCCAAACCTAAAGCTTTGAAGGAGATATCACACCTTTGCAGTCGTGCATATCAAGAAACGATTGATTCTCATGAACTACAATAAACCTGCAAAAAAAAAGTGAAACCAAGAGATAGCAAGAACAGCTAGGCATAGAGTAAAAGATGCTTTCAGCATTTAAAGGATTAGAAAAAACCAAGATATCAAAATTAATCCAATATTTACAGAAAAAGCTAATAAGTGGAGGGTGTATTTAGCACGCTGTTACGTCAATATGCATGCCAGGTGTCCCCTGCTCTTCAGTAGCGAAGAGTACACAACCGTATAGAATGATATATTTTACCAGAAATATGTAATACCAACTGGCAGAATAAGAATTCACTACACCAAAGTAGAGAGAAAACAGGATAATAAACTCAAGATACTCTTCTAGCATTTCTCCCTTACAAGACAATTGGATGGAACACGTAAGCATCTAGACAGAAGTGACCGTGCAATCATGAAAATGCTTGTTTTCATGTCACTGGTATAGTAAACAAAGTGGTAGGCAACAGAAGAGCGATACACAGATTGTGAAAGTTCCAAAGCATAGCATTTTATTCATAAGATGGTGTGCACTTCCCTCCATGTATTACAAATACAAAGAGTGACTTAGGCATTACAGATACCTAAAGTGAGAAGAAAACCTATAAGAATAACAGAAAGAAAAAAAAGAAACAAAGAGTCGACAAAAGTCAGCTGGCAATGCTAGCCAAGACTGCAAACAAGGACCGAGTAATATAAAAACTGGACTGAGTAATATAAAAACCTCTATGTAAACAACATCAAATGAAGGTTGGCACCAAATGAAAAGGCCTGCAAAGTGCACACCGGTGTACAAATGAGGAAAAATGAAAAGAAGAAAAAACAAAGAACACAAAAAAAACACATACTTGATTTCATAAGGGGCATGGCCAATATTAACTTGACAAGCATGCCCATCCATATCCAGTATGCAATAAATGATAGAGATACCACGGTCTCCTATATATGACAGCTACAGATATATATGACAGCTACAGATACAGAGGTTACGATGGAAAAGTATCCCATGAACGAGCAAAATTTTCCTCCTGTGAAAGACCAACATGTCTACCCCATTCCAAATTCAGATGAAGGCCGAAATAAAGCAAACTGATCATATTTTCTAGTCTGGCCTCCTGCTTCCATAAACATTCATATGCTACTCCTTCAAAGGGGGTAGAAGACATAAACCTCTGGTTTTCTACCGTTCAATCCTTGAAAACCTTTTCTTCTTACTTTATCATTGTCAAAGTTTGGAAGTATTCTAATTCAGTCTTCTCCTTTTAGGTGCACGGGAGGTACCCCCATCTGCATCTATAGAATGAGAAGCCCCAATCCTTCTCCTTCTTGGAGGATCTGAAGACCCAATAGACTCTGGCTCCAAACCAGGTTCAATTACTGAACTTCCTAACTCTATCACTGCAGCTGTGCTAGAAACTGAAGTTCGATCCTCAAAACCTCCATTACCCTGAGGCCCTTGATTATTCAAACTCGTAGATTGCGTATTGTTCAAATTGAACCCAGGTTGGGAACTAGCATCATTTGAACCAATCCTATCATTTGAACCAATCCTATGGATAACACCTTCCAAAGAGTTCAAACTCGCTCTCATAGCCATAGCATTCTCTGTTCTCTGAAGCCTTTGTAAAGAGAGAAGTCCAATGCCACCCCAACGATGGCCACCTCCTGAGCCCCCATCAACCCCATTATTTCCATCCATACCCCTAGCACGGGCTCTTGGGTTTTGCCCTAAATCCCCTGAATTTCGAGAATTAACTGGCCTTACAAGTCGATCCCTTTCTAAGTGAGTTCTCTGCAATCTCTGTGCAATTCTAAACCTCGTCAAAATATGTTCATTATGAGAATGAATTCCGCCAAATGGTTCCACCCCATTGTCAACAACATCAAGAACATGGTTGTGTTCCTCTTGTATAGCCCCCCCAATAAAAGCTGGTTCCCCGATACTGGTATGCCTCCTTCTTAGCCTATAAAAATCCCCAATTCTCCAATCTGGCCTTCTAAGCCTCTGCCTCAAGCTCTCGATTCGACAAGCATGGGGTCGAGGAGGTATGTTTAGCTCTGTTTCCTCTTCTGTTTCACCTTTTTTTGTGGATTCAGATTTCCTGGTTTTTTCGCTGCCACGTCCATAAATTGGAGTTAGGTTCATCTCTGTAACTTCCCCTTTACAAACTGGGCATTCCTTCGTGTTTGAATGGACATGAAGCCATTGGTAAAGGCATGGCCAGCAAAACAAATGGCCACAAGAGGTAACGACTGGTTCTTCAGCCAAGTCTAAACAGATGTTACAGTCGAAATGTGAACTCGATTGCTCCTTTTTCTCATCTTCTTCCTCTGCTAAAGCCTCAGCAACCAAATTCACTCCACCCCCTTTAGGTAACATCGTCGACTCTGCAACCCTCTCCATACCAAATCCTAGTCCATTGTCAAATCCCAATCCATTATCTATCTCTTCGGTTTGGACTAGGTCAACCAGAGGAGAAGCTCTTTGACCCAATATCCTCCTCCATCTGTTGCTATACTGAAGAGACCTTGGTGGTTCTTGAGCTTCAGAGCTCACTAGAGGCTCTGCTAATGGCTCTGGTTCATCGAGATCAATAACTGGTTCGCTAGTTTCTACAGAGGAACGAATAATGTTGCTGAGAATTGAGGATCCACGAGACTGGTATAAGGACTGCAAAAACAGGTCAGGGTTTGAGCTTCCAGGCCAATCATGGAGATCCAACCCTAACCCTAGCCCTAGGTCAAAACCAGGAGGGGGTTCAAGATTCAGGTCAAGCTCCATTCTCTGATCCTCACTATTCCTTTCCATCTCAGAAAATCCTAATCCGAAACCCTATAAATTATTAACAAGAAGGCAGTTTCATAGCCAAAATGGAGAAAAGATGAAAGCCATCATTCATTAACAAGCCAAAATCACTGCCCAAAACGGATTTTCATCGATCGAAAAATAACAAATCTAGGGTTTCTATGCTCTAATTAATCGCACTTTCCAGAGATTTTTCTCAGTGGAAATACCAAAGAAACTCGCATCAGAGAACAAAAAAGTCAGAGACTTACCAGTCACAATTGAATGAAGCTCGCGAAGAGGGAAGTGAACTTCTCTAATCTGAGACGACCTAGAAAATATCAAATCAGAAATTTCCTTTCCCCAATTTTAGGAAAATTTCCTTTCCCCAATTTTACAAAAATTTCCTTTCCCCAATTCTACGATACGTTGGTGAGGAAAAGCTCCTTGGATCGATGAGAGAGAGAGAGAGACGTGCGAAACTCGTTGGACTGGATTGAGAAAAGAAGAGAGAGAAACAGAAAACGGAAAATGGTAAATTTAAAGGGGAAAGCGTGGGCAGACAGCAGGTCAGAGAGAGACAGTAGAGAGAGAAAACCTGTTGCTACTACAAGGAGGGAAGAAGAGAGAGAGAGACGCAAGTGTCCGAAATAGAGAGGAGAGGAGAGAGAGTAGAGAGAGAACTCGTTGGATTCCTACAAGTGAAGAAGAGAGAGAGAGAAACGTAAATGGTCGGAAATGGAGGTGAAATAGACGCATGGTGCGCGAAGAGGAGGGAGAATTGATGAGAAAGCGTTAGAGAGAGGGAGTGGGGGTGGGGTTAGAGAGTGAGAGAGCAGCGGGTGTTACGCGTCAACAAGGGCGGCGGCATGGACCCGCCGAACGGCAGTTCACACGTGCTGCGCCTGTTTCGCGCGCATATTTTTATCGCCCCCAATTTTCCGAAAACGCCCCTAATATGAAAGTATATTTCATTTGTACCCTGCCGATTTGGACCTTAGTCGGCACGTTATACGTTGGCGCCTGTGTTTTAAGAAGGGAAAAGGTGTCTTAACAACGGAAAAAGTTTCGGAGAGCGAATGCATGTGCACCATACTGTATCCTTACTCCCTCGGGCCGAAGATGAACTCGGGAAGATTTTTTGATCCAAAATTTTGAGAACTACCTAAAAGTTACTAGATGATTATATTCAAGAGAAAAAAACTACAGTTTTGAGTTTTTTAATGCTTGGATGTCATTCTACAAAATTACACGATTTCTATTCAATTGATGATATTATTTTTCTTAATCCAGTAGAGAATGCATATTGATTTTTTGTTTTAATATAACAAAAAGAGGTAACGTCCCTAAAATATTTTTAGATTAGATTTTGCATGTGGTAGTAAATGAACAATATGCTCCCATGAGTGCATAATATATTTTGTCAAATTTATATTAGGCATCAGCCTTAAAACGGTACAGTGTGATGCACCTCATAAGTTCCTAAGGTTATTCGGGCTTTGGAAAGCCTCTAATTTATACTTCAAATTTTATAGCTAGGGGACTGGCCATCACAAGGGTTTGCAACACTAAGGGGCCGTTTGAATACCTGAAAATATATCGTTCGTGAAATATGTTACTGGTGTAATATATTATCTGTATACATGGCTATTGTTTTGCTTTGTTGAGAAGAAATATGAGAAATGCATTACCAACGTTTTACTAGCACTTGCCTGTAAATTATCAGTTCTTTCTTTTTTTGTTACAAAATTCTACGAAATTAAAGTCATAATCACATCATTCTAATAATAACATCATCACCATTTCAAAATTTTTTTTAATAATAATTTGTACTATTCTATAGTCTTTATCACACAAATTTTTACTTATTTTGCATGCCTTTGGTATTTACATGGAATCACTTGTCTTCTAACATGATTAGACTTTGGTTTCAACATCATAAGTCTTGGAATAATATAATTGGAATAACTTGTTTTTATTGTCATAAGCCTTATTTTTATTTATTTTTTATAGAAGTCTTTAAATTCTATAAAAATCTTTATGGTACAGGTTAAAAAATAGAAAGAAGTTTAATGAGTAAACTAGAAGGTTTAGTAATTGCAGTAGAAAATTTTGAAGTATTGGAGAAAATTAAAGAGGTATTTTATTTTAATTGAGCTTTTACTAATCTCATGTTGGGTGAAACTTTTTATTATAATTGTGTTATGTAATTCTTATGTTAAGGGGTTTAAAAAAAAGTACAGATAAGAAGTATGGGCTTAAAGAGAAAGGAAGCACGTATTGCAAACCAATTATTAAGGTTGAAGAGAGAGATGGAACACATATTGCAAACTAATTATTAAGGTTCAAGAGAGAGACGGAACAGCTTATGCAAACTAGTTATTAGGGTTGAAGAGAGAGGGAACAGGCTTAGAGAGGTTGAGGGAGCAAACCGACTAAGAGGGTTTGACATTTTATTAGGGTGGGATAAGGTTCAAGAGAGAGGGGACGGGCTTAGAGAGAGCGAGCAGACCGAGGGTTGATAGTTTGTTAAGGCGGGACAAGGCAGAGAGAAGCACGCTAAATATTTTTAAAAATTTTCCGTCGAGGGCGTAATAGATTTTTCACCTAACACCGGTGTTTCATGATTTTTTAGGAAATCTCGGGTAATCTCTTTCCATTTCTTTATTATAAAGTGTACCAAAAGGTGGAAATGTCATCATCTTTCATCGTAATCGATTGTCAACGTAATAGATTTATAGGTACCCAAATGGCCCCTAAATCCGCATCTTTCGATAAGGTTTGAGATGTGTTTTACTTTGATTATTTAAGATTAAAGCCTTATACAAATTGCACCCTTTAAAAAATTAATCGTTTGGTTGGATCAGCTCTGTGATGGGCCTATTTGGAATGGCCGAACATGTGATTTGGATCACCTTGATCAAATATACATCCGAAAAAAAAAAAATAGAGATGAAAAGAAGTTGCATAAATGTGTTCGTTCCAGGACTGAGTTTAAATTATAAAAAAAACTAATAAATATAAAAAGTTAGATAAATTTGAGAAAATGAGGCTCATTCCCAATTCTGATAAAAATAAACCTATCTATTTTTAAATCAGTTCCGAATTGTTGTTAGAGGTCACCGCTTATTGGATTAGGATTACCCCACCATATAGGATAAGATCAATATAACTAGTTGGACTAGTCTTGAACTAAAAAAAAGAAAAAAGAAAAAAGAAAAAGAAAACCCTCTTATAAGAGTTTGTTTAATTTTTTTTGTCTTTTCTTTCTCTTAAGCCTGATCATTAGCCTAAGCCATTAGCATGAAGCATTGAGGGCGTGAGTTGTAGAGGGAGAGAGGCATTGGAGAGAGAGCGAGGGAGCAGAGGCATTGGCTCCAGAGACATAGGATAATAAGGGGTAAGATTTTACCTAACATATGTCTGATGTGTAAGTCCGATAGAAAAATTGGGTCTCACCTTTTTGATTCACAGCTATTTTTATTATTAGGATTTGGTCATGGTTCCTAGCAAAGTTGGGCATGCATATTGCTCTGCCCGAGATGGTAATTGCCATTATCAATCACATGGCATTTCCAAACCTACCAAAAGTAGGTCAAACTCTATGGAAGATTGTTAATGGGGCTATCTTATGAGAAGTTTGAAAAAGAGAGCAATCGTAATACCTTTGATCAGGAGGCCTGCTCTTTTGAGAGAGTCTTGAATTCAATCCAACACACCATTTGGTGTTGGATGTCGATAACGAAAGAAGGGAGGGGAATACTGGCCTCGGATATCTTTTCAAATATTATATAGGGTGGTAATTAATAGACCTAGAAGTGTATGGGTGAACCTTTCACATGGCTGCTTTAAACTCAATTTTGATGGCAGTTTAGTAGGAAATCTGAAGGAAATTCGGGGCCTATAAGCATTGGGGGTGTGATTAGTGATTGGTATAGTACCAAGATATTTTGATAGGCTGGCCGGGTTGGAGTGGCTAAATTGTGTTGTGGAAGGGGATTCTCTTCACGTCATCAAGTGGTGCAATAAGAGCAGAGGATTCCAAGGGATTTGGGATCCTTGTTGCTTCATATTTTGTAATTATTAGAATCCTTGACGATTTCCTTTCAACACGTGTATAGGGAGGCAAATTCGGAGGCTGATAATTATGCTAAGACTAGGGCTTCTTTATCAGCGAGTAGTAAAATAATAATAATAAAAATAATAATTGGTAATCGATAAGAAATTACATAGCACAATCATAATAAAAAATTTCATACAACATAATCCTTATAAGAGGCTAGTAAAAACTCAATTGAAATAAAATGCATCTTTAGTCTCCTCCAATGCTTCAAAATTTTCTAGTGCAATTACCAAACTTTCTAGTTTACTCATCAAACTTCTTTCCATTTTTTAACTTGTACCATAAATATTTTGATTTTGGTATCATAAATTTATTGCTTATTTGAAATTATATATAGAGAGATATTTGAAAGACTTCTATAATAAATAAATAAAAATAAGGCTTATCACAATAAAATTATGTTATTCCAATAACTTATCATGTTGAAACCAAAGTCTAATTATGTTAGCCTAACATAGCCATATTTTTCATATTTGGATGGTAATTTATTTCTCATAGTTCTTCCAGACATAGCCAAACAGTAGCAATGTATTTCCCAAATTGCATTTAAATACTACCCAAACAGTTATAATCCATTTGCAGGTAATGTATTACGTAATAATGTATCATGCCTGTAATATATTTCACAGACAATATATTTCCAGGCATCCAAATGGCCCCTGAAAGTGTACCTCGCTGTTATCCGGTATTTGCATCACCGGAAGAAAAAGTGCATCATGAATTGCAACAATGAAATTGCTTAAAGTGCATCATTCTCAATTAAAACCCATGAATCAAATAAAAAATTGAAAGAAAATTGAAAAGGAATGGAACTATAATTAGATTTGCCCCAAGAAGTCTCTGATATATCACCACAAACAATTAAACAAATAAAAAGCACAACCATATCACTACAAAATCCCATGATACCATTCTCTCTTAATGTTATAATTCAACATTTTTGGTTGTTCTTCACGTGCAACAACTATAATATTTCTTTCAAGAGACTTCCTACCAAAACAAAGCCACCCATTAGGTTATAATTCCACCCAAACCCTAAAAAACCCTAGTTACATGCACTAGGTTCTTCTTCCCAAAAGAAAGAAGACTCACAGAACTAGAAACATTAGCCCAAATTCATGGACCCTCCCCTGAACTAAGAAAAAAAAAAATAGAAACAAGCTAAGACAACAATTTTTATTAGTTTATTTTTTTTTGTGATTGAGAAACCAACTTGCTACATGGATTATGAAACCATGCAACATGGACGAGATAGCTTCAAAGCTAGCTACCATTGACCCTACTGCAATTTGTTCTTATTTGACCATTGGTGCCAGTCAATGGGCTTATATTACCCATCTTGATCATGGATTTCACAAAGCTTTCAAAGAAAGCACTTTGGTTACTAGCATAGTTTTGCACAATAGAGACTGTCGCACCACTAGTGGAGAACAACTCTTGGTCAGACTGGAGTAGGCCTCTGTTGCTCTCAAGATTAGTGAAGTACGCGTTGTCGAAACCATCCGGGGTTGTCGGGTCCAAGTCCGATAAGGTGGTGTCTCCACCACTTTGAGGACATGAACCCTGTAGAGTTGTCACATAAGATGAGTTCATGGTGGGATCGGCTGCCCCGGAACCACTAAAGTTGTATAGTCGATCCCTGAAAAACTGGCACTGTGCTCGCCCGAATGTGTGTGCCCCTGTAAAATAGAGCACTGATGAGTAGGCTAGATGTTTCCCCCATAGACACGTGAGAACAATTTCTAGGCAACTAAGGGTGAATCAACAAATTCTTAATCAAACTTGGTGTAGATTAGATGGAGAGTTCACAATTTTAGTTTCATGAACATAATGATTGTAAATCCTTTTGCATATTTTGGAAATTTTATTGCCGAATGCTAAATAACACTGATCTTTTTTTGTTGTTCAAATGGTAGTACGTAAAGAAGTTCAACCAGCCTTCCAGTAGGGGCAAGTTCCTACAGCAACTCGCCCTGCTCTTATAAATGTAGTAAAAAATGTGAAAAACAAAAAATATAGAAAAATTGGGAAACATCATTATATTTGTTAGAAATAAGTTTTTAGACGATTTTGGCAGTTTTTAAGATGATGGGAGAAATTTTATATTTTTCATTTTTAGATTTTTTTAAATATTCAAAAGTTAAATGAAGATTTTTAATAATCTATGTTTTGTAGATCTTTGTCATCTTTTTAGTCTTTCAGCTTTTTCTTATTTTTAACTACTTTCTTAAAAACTACCCCTTTTCTTTTTTACTTTTTTTTTGGTTGTACGTTACTCGGCCGAGTCTTTTACTCGCCTCGGTTAAGGTCGAGTATCTTGGAGTTTTTGAACCCTGGGTTCAACTTCAGAATTCCTTTTTCCTTACCACATATATTTTGCATGGCATTTCAATGGAATTCAATCTAAGAAATCCTTTGTTGATTTGGCATATATATCTCAAAGGCAACTTGTGTCCCTCTAAAATAAAAGGTTCACTTCTAAATGAAACCATGGTTGGTTGAGCTGAATTAACCAAGCACGACTGTGTTGATAACTTCATATACACAGATCATACCAGTCTTGTATTTTCAAGGTCTTTGTCAGATTCAAACTCGAAAAAAAAAAAACAGATCCAAACTCAATAAAAATAAAATAAAAAAAAAGAGAAAGTGGAGGGCTGGTACCAGAGAGAGCAACAACATCTGTCGTGTCGAGGCCAACATTTGAAAACTTGGTTGAAATGTTACTGATGCCTTCGAAAGGGCTCGGAAGATTGTTATTAGCAGCATCTTTATTCGCAGTAGTGCCATCCCTGCGCCCAAGTAGAACACTCCATGACGGACCACCAGCCTGTGCAGTCCCTAACAATGGGGATTTCCATCATCCTCTAAATTTTATTTGTACATTTCTCATGAACTCGGGGATGTAATTTTTTTTGGGATAATTTGACATTTGGATTAAACAACGGAAAGTTTTCTATATCCCACTAGGCCAATTCATATATGCCATTTTCTCTTAGCCATCGGATCCTACCTTCAGCCATATTGACATAAGTGAGCCTCTGATCGTTTGATCTAGATCTGATATTTGAGAGAATTTTATTTTAATTTTTTTACAAATCATATGAGCATTAAATTTGGTTCCTGTAATCATATCAATGGGGCGCACCAAAAAGTTGAGAAAATATATAACATCAAATTACCAAACTGCTCATAAAACTCTCAAGGGTATTTTAGTTATTTTATTTTGTTAAAAAAATTTCTTTATATCATTCTTAGGTGTCACCCTATGAGAGGATAGAAAGCCCCCAAAAAAAATTTGATGTTAATATAATCTATAGAAATAAATTAAAAATAAAATAATAAATTCATATATGCCACCCCTCAGCTAGCCACCCCACATTTGGATATACACGTGATTGTGATGTCTTTGTAGTAAAAGTGAATGACCTTGCTATGTACTTTTACCTTGTGTATTCATTTAACTATATTCATTTAACCATTCTCAAAATTTTCGTGTGATAAAAAATATCCTACTGTAGGTGATTTCCTACCGGGTTTTATACAAAAAAAGATCCACGACCATTGGGTCCTTATCCTAATCTACCCCATGGAGAGAGAAGTATTCATATGAGAGAAATAAATTGCAAAACGAGAGAGAGAGAGGGAGAGATATTGCGTACCAAAACAACTGAAACTTCAGAGGCAATGGCAAGGATATCAGCACATGAGACAATACCAGGGCACTGACTTTCCAAGTCAGCCTTTATGTTATCCACCACAGGGAATCCTCTCACAGAGCCACTATTTGGGACTGCATCCTTCTCACTAACGATGCTTGACGAATTATCCAGCAACAAAGACCCATCACACCCCTACATCACAAGACAATGAGAGACAGAGATGGATTGTTCAAAAGAGAGAGAGAGAGATGGATTACATTTTAGAGAATTTTACGTGCAGATCAGAGAAAACTTTAGTATTACGACATTGTTCATAGCTGGTATAAATGAAGGTGAATGTCATAAATACATTTGTAGGATTAGGACATCAGGAGTGAAAGAAGCTTTGAAAATGATGAAGATAGGAAAACGTTTAGGATCGGATGATATTCCGATAGAGATTTAGAAGTGTATAGGGGATATTGGCATTAATTGGCTGATGAAGTTGTTCAACAAGGTGTTGTGAATAAAGCAAATGCCAGACGAATTTTTCAGGAAAATAGAGAGATATATAAAGATGTTGCACATGGAATTAGAGCTGGGTGGGTGAAGTGAAAATTTGCAACTGGAATTTTGTATGATCGCTGCATGCCAATAGAGCTGAAGGGTAAGTTCTATAGGACAGTTCTGAGACCAGCTTTACTTTATGGGTGGAATGTTAGGCGGACAAAAGAACAATATACAATAAAATGCATGTAGTGGAGATGAAAACATTGAGATGGATGGGTGACAAGATGGGATAGAATCTGAAATGTATTCATTTCAGATAATTTAGGTGTGGTACTAATAGGTGATAAGATGAGGGAAAGTAGACTTAGGTGGGCTGACCATGTATATCTTTAACCTAATATAGCACCTGTTAAGAGGTGCGAGTTAGTTCAAGTGGAAGGATTGAAAAGAGCAAAGGATAGGCCTAAAGGACGTGGTTGGAAGTAGTTCGAAAAGATGTGTACACTTATGAACTCATTGAGAGTATGACCTTAAAAAGAGCAGAATAACGAACAAAGATTCGTTTAGCTAATCCCAATTAATTAAAAAAAAGATTATGATAATGATGACGATTACGGCATGGGTCATATTTGGATCATAATACAGTGAGGCTCTACTTTTCTTTTCTTTGCTTTTTCATTTTCATTTCACCCGTCATTTGAGAATCTAACTCTTAAACTGCTCCAAACACAAGAAAAATGATGTATTTGGTTGGACAATTAAAAATTCCAATTTTCGAACTATCCAAACAAACTCAAAAGTTTGATTTTCAACATAGGATAATGAGAACCAAAAAAACAGAAAAGAAAAAAATGAAACATGCTCACACATCC